AGCCTGTTGAGCAGAAGCCTTACAGATAACATAAACAGTTAACACATATTTTGTGTATTATATGTATTATATACTCTATTCTTACAATAAAGTAAGAGAAAAAAATCCTAAGGAAGAGAAAATATATTTACAGTACAGTCCTGTATTTATCAAAAAGAATCCATGTTTAAGTGGACCCACACAATTCAAACCCATGTTGATGAAGGATCAACTGTGTATCATTTTTCTCTACTTTTAAGATTTTCCCTTTATACTAGTTTGAAGCAATTCCTTAGGTACTTTAATATAGTTTTCTTCATGGTTCCTATGCTTTGGAATTCTTTGAGCTTCTTGGATTTGTAGGTTTATGGTTTTAATATTTTAATATTTTTTTCAGATATTTTTTTCTGTGCTTCCCTCCTTCAAAGACTCCAATCACATGGTATATGATGCCACTCTGAAGTTCACTTGTGGTTCACTGATGTTCTGTTCTTGCCCCTGTCCCCCTCTCCCCCACTTTCTTTCTCTGTGTGTTTCCCTTTGGATAGTTTCTATTGCTGTCTTCAGTTCACTAATTTTTTTTTAATGATGTCTGCTCTGCTATTATCCCATCTAGTGTATTTTTCATCTCTAGAAGTTTGATATGAGTCTTTCTTATATCTTCCATAATTCTATTTAACACGTTCAATATTTCTCACTTCTCAAATATATGGTATAGGTTATAGAACTCTCAATATCTGCAAATACCAATTTTTTAAAAATAGGTTAATTTTGATGTAATTAAAATGCCATAAAACTCACTCCTTTAAAGTGCACAATTCAGTGTTGTTGTTTTTTTAATATATTCTCAGAGTAGTGCAACCATGACAAATATGTGACTTTAGAATATTTTCATCACCTCAGAAGAATCCCCATGCCCATCACTCACCATTTCCCCCTTACCCCAGTCCCTGACAACCACTAATCTATTTTCTCAATGTATTTCTCAATGTATTTCTCAATGTATAATGGACATTTAATTATAAAAGGAATTATACAATATAATAATATATATATACAATATACAATATAATACAATACAATATTATATAAAATATTATATACAATATATATTGTATACAATATGTATTGTATATTATATATAATATAATAATATAATATAATTATATACAATATATATTGTATATTATATACAATATACTAATAGCCTTTTGTGACTTTCTTCTTTGATTTAGCATGATGTGTCCACGGTTCATTCATGTTGTAGCATGTATTAGTACTTCATTATTGCTCAGTAATATTCCATTGTATGGCAGTATCATATGTTTCTTTTCCATTTCTCATTTGATGGCCATGCACATTGTTTCTACTTTTGGGCTATCATGAACAATGCTGCTATACACATTCCCACAAAGTTTTGTGTGGACCTCTGTTTTCAGGTCTCTTGGGTTTATTTACACCTACAATTGGAATGGCTAGATAGATGCAGTAACTCCATATTTAACATTCTGAGAAACCGTCCAACTGTTTCCACGGTGCCTGTACCAATTTACAGTGCTACCCACAATGTATGAGGGTTTCAGTTTCTCTGCATCCCTGTCCACACTGACTTTCGTTTGTCTTTTTTCTTGTAGCATCCTGGTAGGTGTGATATGGTATCACATAGTTTTGATTGCATTTCATTGATGGCTAATGATGTTGAGCATCTTTTTACATGCTTATTGGCCATTTGTACATCTTCTTTAGAGTAATGCCTGTTTAAATCCTTTGCCCATTTTTAATCAAGTTTTTGTCTTTTTACTGTTAAATTGTAAGAGTTCTTTATATATTCTGGATACTAGATCCTTATTAGATGTACAGTTTTCTTTCATTCTGTGGGTTATCTTTTCACTTTTCTTGACAGTGTCCTTTAAAGTACAGTGTTAATTTTTATGAAAACCAATTTATTTTCCCTTTTCTCACTTGTGCTTGTAGTGTCATATCTTAGAACTCATTACCTAATCTGAGATCATAAAGATTTATTCCTATGTTTCCTTGTAAGAGTTTTATACATTTAGTTGTTAAATTTAGGACTGTGATCCATTTTTAATTAATTTTTGTGTATGGTATGAGATAATGGTCCAACTCATTCTTTTGCATTGTGTATATCCAGTTTTCCCAGCACCATTTCTTGAATGTTTACCACTTTTATTATCTTTGTCACTTTTGGGTCAGTTTTTATTAATTTTTTCCTTATCTTGGGTTGTATTTTCCTGCCTTGCATACTTGATAACTTTTTATGGGATGCTTTACATTGTTAATTTTACTTTGTTGGATGCTGGGTATTTTTGTATTTATGTAGATGTTCTTAAGCTTTGCTATGGGACAGTTATGTTACTTGGAAATAGTTTGATCCTTTCTGTTCTTGCTTTTAGGCTTTATTAGTTGCTTGCAGAACAGCATTTAGTTTAGGGCTAATTTTACCCCTCTACCAAGGCAAAAACCCTTCCAAGTTCTTTAGTTGATACACCTTTTTTTAATGTTTATTTTATTTTTATTTTTGAGAGAGAGAGAGAGAGAGAGAGAGAGAGAGAGCATAAGCAGGGGAGGGGCAGAGACAGAGGGGACACAGAATCTGAAGCAGGCTCCAAACTCTGAGCTGTCAGCACAGAGCCCAACACAGCCTCACAAACTGTGAGATCATGGCCTGAGCCAAAGTCGGGCACGGAACCGACTGAGCCACCCAGGTGCCCCAATACACCATTAATTACAAGACTTTTCTGCTAGGCTGGTAGGAACAGTAACTACTTCCAGTTTGGACACTGTTCCATCTAAATCCTTTCAAGTGGTTCTTTCCCCAGCTTCTGGTGGTGTCTCACATGATAGTGCCAATCAGTACATGGCTGGAGCTGAAGAGGAACCCTCTGCAGACTCTGGAGCCCCTCCTTCAGTAGCTCTCCCCCCCCTCCACTACTCTGCCCTACAAAACCACCACACTGACCTCCCCATACCACCTCTGCCTTGTTTGAAAATGTGCCCAGAATTTGTTTTAATCAGCTGTGGCAAAATGACAGACATGGAGAACAACTGCCTTTGGAATAAGAGTTTATTACCCACAGCTCCTAAGAGGAGACAGGGTAGAAGGAAGGCATGAGAGAGGTTCAGGGATGCTAAGAGTCACCTTATTGGAAGGAAAGATTATAGACACTGATTAATTCTAGACCGCAGTAGAAAAAAAATATGTTTTACAAAATTTTAGGTACAGCTAACCATTCAGTGAGTAAAAACAGAATTTATGCGTTCAGACTATTAGTGAAAAGAAATTTTTAAAAGATAGTAAAGGGGCATCTCGTGGCTCATTCAGAAGAGCATGCAACTCTTGATCTTGAGGTTGTGAGTTCAAGCCCCACACTGGGTGTGGAGATTACTAAAATGAATAAATAAATTTTAAATAGATAAATAGGAAAAGAAAACTCATCATTCACATGAAAGGGTGTGGAAAGAAGAGTTAGAAATCACAAGAAAGTGAAGCATATACAAAACAGGATGACAGGAGTCAGACCAAAGATCTTTTAGATCAATAGATGTGACTATGTTAAGTCCTTTATTTAAGAGATACTTTCAAATTATGTTTTTAAAGAAGCCTATGATTTAAAGAGACATACTTCAAACAAAATGAGAAAAGATTGAAAATAAAGAAAAGGACACATATACCAGGCAGTGATGACAAAAAAAAAAGCAAAGTGACAATAATACCAATCAAATGAAAAGGAACACGGCATTGAATGAAAGTTTTCATAGTAGTACAAGAAAGCCGCAAAAATGATGTTGTCTCTTGTTTTCTTCTTTCTCAGGTGTGTGACATCTTGAAAGGGAGATGGTCAGTTTTGCTCATTATGCAGTCAGTACAATGGAACTAAACCTCATTAAAAACGTTTAGCCTTTAAATTGACTTTAAACCCTTTTTTTTTTACATTTATTTATTTTTGAGAGACAGAGCGTGAGCAGGGGAGGGGCAGAGAGAGAGAGGAGAGGGAGACACAGAATCCGAAGCAGGCTCCAG